CCAAAAAATTATACTACAATTACGCCACCTATCAAATAATAAAATCGAAAAGTGAAAAAAGTGGGATGTTCCACTATGTACCTGAGTGCCTCAAATATGAATTCGTAGTTTTCAACAAAATCCAATGAGCTTATTTCATTTATACTAGCTATTGATCTGCCCGCAGAGTGCCGTGTTGGAATTGCTCAAGGAAGCTATGGTTGCCAAAGCTGCAGACACGAACGGGTTTGTCATGGATGGTTATCCCAGGGAAATCATTCAGGGTGTGGAGTTTGAGAAACAGGTGAGTGACGACAGGTGGGAACTTCCTAAATAGTGAACGTCATCTTCATCATCATCATCATCATCATCACCATCATCATCATCATCATCATCATCATCATCATCATCATCATCATCATCATCATCATTATCATCATCATCATCGTCATCAGGGTGCCATATCCATCTGGACGTCGGCTACCACAGATCGCCACTGTGTTCTATCGTTCGTCATCTGTAAGAGGCCGGCAGCATATAGAACATGTACCACAGTGAACGTATGTACGTAGTAAAGTCGCGAGACTACATGGGAACAGTGGACAGAGTAGCGACGATAAACTGATTTCACTTTACTAGTGAGTTTGAAAACGATTTTTATTTTTATTTTTATTTTTTATTTATTTTTATTTTTTTATTTGCTTTTATTTATTCCAGAGGTAAAATTGTAGTGCAGCCCTCGGCCACCATAGAGTAGCGACGATGGACATTAGGCAATTGATAATAACATTAGAACCATTAGTATGTAATATTGATGTTCTTATTGTGATGGTTTGATATTCATAATGGAGGATGGAGCATAGGTCATTATAGGTGTCTTGGAAGATAGGGTCAGCAATGCTCTACCATCGGTAATTAGCCAGTAGCATCGATTAGAGCAGGGGTTCTTAACCTGTGGTCCATGGCCCCCTATGGGGTCCGTGGATGGGGTTTACGAGGTCAGTGAGCACCATTGTATGCAAAATTGTGTGCTTATGTGCATTTTTAGCTCATCTGACATAGTCAGATGCAGCTTGTAGAATCGCATGAGCATCCGTCCGTGCGTTCGTCAACAGCTATGGCACAATCCTAACCGTTCGACGTACGGTCTTGATATTCGGGACGTCGGGGGGGGGATCGCGAAATAAACTCGGGATGTCGAATTTGGGGGGTCAAGGGTCAAAGGTTAAGATTTACGCTATCCTTGCAGGTGAAGGATTGCTCCTTCGTGCTTTACTTCGAGTTAGCGGAAGAGGTGATGAAGGAGAGGCTCATGAAGAGGGCCGCGACGAGCGACCGCGTCGATGATAACGAAGAGACCATGCTCAAGCGCCTGCGGACGTTCAGTGACGTCACAATGCCAGTTATCGATCACTACAGGGATAAACTGAAAACGGTAGCGTAGCGTTGTCGGCACAGAGAGAGAGATAGAGAGAGAGAGAGAGAGAGAGAGAGAGGGAGAGAGAGAGAGAAATAGAGAGAGAGAGGGAGAGCGAGTGAGACAGAGAGCGAGAGAGCGAGAGTGCGTACTATCGGAGTAACCCTGGGTGAGGTTTTTCGATTATGCTGAGCGTACCCTGGTACTTTATCTCTAATATGCCGAATGCCTCGCCTACTCCAGCTACCAGAGTCTATGGCAAGTTGCCGCCTACTCCGCTACTGCCTAACCCTAACGCCTAACATATCAGCATAGTTTACCAGGGTTAGCGTCCGAATATCGAAACCGTACCCAGGGTACCCTGCGATAGTACCCTGGGGACATAGACCCCTATGAGCGTAAGATGGCGCGCGACAGAAAGGCTGGGGAGTGATACAGCGTTTTTTAATCTCAGCGTCCTCACTGCCTCCGCTGTTTCATTACGAACGTAAAAAAGCTTGTGTAGGAAATACCGGGTATCATCATGGTACTACCTATGCCCAACAAAAGTAGAACGAACAACTAACCTTAATCATAATCCTTATCCCTGACTCTACCTTTACCCAAACATACACCTAACTCTACGGGCTAGACGTTACTCTACAACCTGACCTATGAACCCTACTCCTATCCCTTCTCGCTAACCGCAAACGCTTGAGCTGTAAAGCTACCCTATTCCTATACCCTTAACGCCTACCTCTACTAAGTAATTCTATACTCCTAACCCAAACTAAACCTCTACTCCTAACAAATAACCCTTACCCTGCCAACCCTGCAAGGTAACATGTTACAACTTAAGGACAATTAATCATGAGCCCACGGCACCGCGTGCAGCTCTCTCTTTTCTCCCCTTCCTCTCTCTCTCTCTCTCTCTCTCTCTCTCTCTCTCTCTCTCTCTTTCCTCTTCCTCTCTTCTCTCTCGTTCTCTCTCTCTCTCTCTCTCTGCTCTCCTCGTCACTACTCTCTCTCCTAATCTCTCTCTCTCTCTTTCTCTCTCTCGTCTCCTCTCGGCTCTCTCTCACTCTCTCTCTCTCCTCTCTCTCTCTTCTTATCCGGCGCGGCTGCTCTCTTCTCCTCTCATTGTCTCTCTTCACATCTCTCTCTCTCTCACACACGACTCTCTCTCTCTCTCTCGCTCTCTCATTCTCTCTCATCTTCTCGCTCTCTTCGCACTCTCCGTTCTTCTCGCTCTCTCGCTCTCTGTCTCAACTCGCTCTCCCTCTTTCTCTCTCTCTATTTCTGCTCTCTACTCTCTCTCGCTCTCTCCTCTCTCTTCCCGTCTGATCTCTCGGCTACTCTGCGCTCTCATCCGGCTCTCTGGTTCTCACTCGCTTCTCCCTGTCTCTCCCTAGGGTCTCTCTCTCTCATCCTCTCTTCTCTCTCTCTCTCTCTCTATCTCTCTCTTCCCTGTGCGACAACGCTACGCTCACGTTTTCAGTTTATCCCTGTAGTGATCGATTATGACTTGCATTGGTGCGTCACTGAATCGTGCGCAGGCGCTTGAGGCGATGTGCCTCGTTATCATCGAGCGTCGCTGCGTCGCGGGCCCTCTTCCATGAGCCTCTCCGTTCTATCACCTCTTCGCTAACTCGTGAAGATATAAGCACGAAGGCGAACAATCCTTCACCTGCACAGGATAGCGTGAAATCTTGACCTTTGACCATGTGACCCCTCAAATTCGACATCCGAATGTTCCTGTTTTTGCGAATCCCCCCACCCCGACGTCCCGATATCAAAACCGTACGTCGAGCGTATGCCCAGTCCACATACACGAGCACCGGCCCGCGCAGACTGACAAATTAAGAGTAAAAAATGGCGGCAACATTAGATCAGGATTGCCGTCGTTGTGAAGCCAACTTTTTACAGGATTTAGGAAGAGGCTAGCGAGTTTGACAACAAGTGCAAGCGTGTTTGCTAGCGCGCTGCCGGTGATACAGAGCGCACTACAGAGCGTCATACAGGGCGCACATGTTAAAAATCCAAAACGAATGCCACCAGCGTTTGTTGTAGGCGCACGGTAACGAATGGTCCGCGCGTGCACGCGCGCGATGCACCGCCGCATCAACAGCACAGCCAGCGTACTAAGCCAACGCACAGCCAACGCAACAGTCAGCCACACAGGGCACTTTCTTGGCGATGACGCCAGGGATTATGGTGTTTTGAGGCCACCCTCCACCCATAGGACATGAGTGATCTTTGGTCCAAAAAAAGGCAAATGCCGCAGCAGTGAGTGGCAAGCTGCAGGCAGTGGATCGAGGGCCTCTCGGTAGTTGTATTCTGCTTGGTGAACCTTGGACCCACTCTGCGTTAGCAAGCTCGTCGAACATCTCTGGGAGGGTATCCGCATGAAAGTTCTTGAAGGCTGCCGGTCTTCGTTACGGAGTTCAACAGAGTAGCTGGTAATACAGAGCCAAACCTTGGTTTCGTCGCCTACCGATCACGGTCCGGACCAGAACTTCCGTTTGACTCTTCTCTTTTTCCCTTTCTCTTGATGTTACATGCGACCTTGTGTGCAGTGCCAGTTCCATGAGGTTCTGCCTGATGTTGGAGCAACCCACGATTTCGTTATTGTAGTCGCAGCTGGCGTCGGGATCCCTCCATCTTCTTAGGTGGTTCTTTCCTAGGACACGAATCCAGCAGGGAATCTCTGTCATCACCATTGAGGGTCGGAGAGAGAAGTGATGATGAGGAGGTGGGGGGCGGACCACGTTTATATACCCCATGGCTCATCCGTCTGCGTACACGCTAAGGAACACGTAGGAGAACGCTGGAGCGCTGCCCAGACTTGTTCAGCACTGCGTTGCAGCACGCCCATATTCGCTGCATGTTCGCCTTGACATGCGTTAGAAGCAACGCTAAGGTGTGCGCTAGGTGTTTCGTGAAACCTCAGCGACGAATACAACGAATACATTCGTAGTGTTCCGCCTGTGTCTGGCGTTAGGATCCAGCGCGCTCTGCG